ATGGTGATGGTGGTGATGAGGATGGTGATGATGATGATGGTGATGATGGTGATGGTGGTGATGAGGATGGTGATGATGATGATGGTGATGATGATGATGATGGTGATGGTGGTGATGATGAGGATGGTGGTGATGGTGATGATGATGATGATGAGGATGGTGATGATGATGATGGTGGTGATGATGATGGTGATGGTGGTGATGATGAGGATGGTGGTGATGGTGATGATGATGATGATGAGGATGGTGATGATGATGATGGTGGTGATGATGATGGTGATGGTGGTGATGATGAGGATGGTGGTGATGGTGATGATGATGATGATGAGGATGGTGATGATGGTGATGGTGGTGATGGTGATGGTGGTGATGAGGATGGTGATGATGATGATGGTGGTGATGATGATGGTGATGGTGGTGATGATGAGGATGGTGATGATGAGGATGGTGATGATGAGGATGGTGATGATGATGGTAGTGGTGATGGTGATGATGGTGATGGTGGTGGTAGTGATGATGGTGATGGTGGTGTTGACGGTGATGGTGGTGATGGTGATGATAGTGATGGTGGTAATGGTGGTGGTGGTGATGATGGTGGTATGGTAGTCATGGTGGTCATGGTGATGGTGATGGTGGTGGTGATGATGGTTTACTACACATTTACTGAGCTGGTGGTCTTATGCCCTTGCAGGTAGAATGCATCGATGAGCATCAGGCCAACAAGGCTCTGGAGGAGGTAACTCTCTCAGTGGTTTCTTCTCTCTAAGAGCATGGTGCAGCACACACACACTGTGTTCTGTACTCTCTTGTTGAGTTACTGGGTGAAGGGAGGCCAGGATGGAGGGTTGGAATGAGTTCTTGCCCAGCTGTGAAGCCAGCAGCCCCCAGGTCCTGAAGGGAGTCCATGCCCAAAACTCTCACTTGCAAATTCAGGCACTGGCAACCTAGAACATATGTTCCCAGAGATTAAGTGTTAATGTTGGCCACGTCCCTAGGCTAATCTATGAATAACCATCTTTTAAAAGTTTTTTTTATTCAATTTTAAAAGTATTAGTTACAATACAAAATTTGGAAAATACAGAATTGTTTAACAAAGAAAATGCAAATTGCCCTTAACCCTCCCATTCAGAACTGGCCAGTGGTGACACCCTTGTGTGCAATGACAGCAGTAGCAGCTGTGCGTGCTTCAAAGGCTCGAGTAGCCCCCGCTTGCCCTCTGGGCTGCACATGAGGTTAGATGAGCCCTCCTATCTCACGGCCACTTGTCTGTCTTCCTTCTGGAACTGCCAGCTCTGGAGCTTTGACAGCAAACATCCGTTCAGTCTGCAGTGTGACTGAAGCACAGTGACAGACCCAGGCCACGTAATGCCCCCACACCATCGCAGCTTTCCACGCCACCAATTCCCTTCTGCATCCCACTAGGCAGCCTGCTCTCACACCCAGCATTTATCATGTGCAGCTGCCCATCTGGCTTACAGTCTGTAAGCTAGCCATTTCTGCTGCCCAGTGGAGTTTGTTTTCAAATCACTCTCGGCTGGGGTAGGGGGCACTGGGACCTCTGGGTGGGCACACCTCACTTTGGCTGCACCACCTTCTCCAGCCAACCCTGACTGTGCTTTATGCCCTCTGCACCAGGCACTGTACAGGCATCAGTTCACTCAGTCCTTGTGACATGCCTATGAGGCAGATTCCACTGTCACCACCATTTTCAGATGAGAATAGGAGGCTCAGAGAGGTTGAGGTGCCTGTCTCAGTCACACGGCACAACCAGCACATGTTGGAGACAGGACCGACACTGGACCATCTAGTTCCTAGCCACCAGGCTCACCGCCTCCCCGTGTCCATTCCCCTGACCAGCTTGGAGCCAAAAGCCTGCCCTTTTGCTGTGATATGTGGCAGAGAAGCACTAGCTGAGAAACGGTGTGTCCCTAACTTCTCTACTTCCTCTGCTCTTGTTCCTGCAGCTGATGCCGCTGCTGAAGCTTCAACACGCCCACATCTCTGTATACCAGGAGCTGTTCATCATATGGAACAAGGAGGTGGGTCAGAGCTGACGCCTACGGGCTTAGCTGTTATCTCCTGGGCTGCAGGACCAAGCAAACCATGCACAGAGCATGCCCACCACCCACCATTGTAACCCCTCAAGTGGCAGTGGCAGTGATTCTAACGTGGTTATGCCTGACTCAATGTACTATACTGGGGGCTTTCCGTGAGCCGCCAACAACCTTATCATAGGAGGGGTTACTAACTTGTTTTATAGAAGAAGGAACAGATTAAGAGAAATAAGTTCCTCCATGTTGCCCAGCTGGTTTGTGGCTGAGCCAGGAGGTCAGGCTAGGAGGGCCTGACTCTAGCACTCTGTGCGTGCAGCCACCAAGCTTGTCCTGCAGCCAAAGGCTAGTGGGTTTGCACCTCTAAAGGTGGAGTTTTGACTTTCATGGAAGAAGCTGACCTGACACTGGTCCTCTGCTTCCTACTGCCATCTGCCACCCAGTTGTCCTGGGCCTCTGGACCCCTTGCTTTTGCAGCTCCTACACAGTTTACTAACTAGTTTCACATCCATCATCATATCCTAGGAGATCAGCAGGGAAGGAGTACTATCCTCCTTTTCCTGATGGGGCCCAGGGCTCAGAAAGGTTAAGTAGCTCTCCAAGGCCATACAGCTAGTAAATAGCTGAGGGGGGTTCAAACCGGGTCTTGTAGCCTCAAGCCCTGTGCTGTGTCCCATAGGCTACATGACTTCTTGTCTTTACAAGGAGCCAGAAGCTTTCCAATTACTCCAGATGGGACTGAGGTGGAGGGAGGGACCAGAGGTGGGACACGGGATGCTGGAGGTGAGGGAGGGCTGGGAGGCCTCATGCTGTGCTCAGGCCTTTTTAGATCTCCATGTTAGTGTCCCTGTCTGTGGCTGACAACCTAGGGTCCAAGCAGGCACAGAGTCCTCCTCACACGGATTCTCTCTCCTCAGCTGGGCCCTGTAGAAAGCCTTGGGGAGGGGTCCTCACTGTATGCACACCAAGTTTTCTGAGAACTCCCCAATGCTGTCATGGAGGATGCAGAAAAGCCAAGAGGAGATTTTGCTTCAGGAAGGAGCACAGAGTTGAGACCCTGACCTAGTCTGCTGCGGTCCTGGACAGGGAAGGCTCCTCAAAGAAAATGTATCTAAGCCGAGTCCTAAAGGATTTGCAGTTATCCCTGTACAGAGGGTAGGGGTGGTTCCATGCAGAAAGGTCCATGTGTGCAGCAGCCGGGGGCAAGTGCAGCTTTTAGGAAAGTCCAAGTTGCTGGGGATGGATAGAGCTTGGAGCTGGTGTGGGACTGGGAATGAGGAGAGGAGAGAGAGGAAGCTGGAGGTGGGCAGCAGGGGCTTGTGACCCCCTCCAGTGGGCAGTGCCACCACAGATGGTGGCCAGGTGGAGGGTGGCCCTGCAGAAGCTCCTGGGCTTCTGGCAGCTGGCCAAGGGATGCTCCTGTCCCTGCAGATCTCCTCTCTGTTCCTCTGCCTGGTTATGGAGCACAACACGATAAGCTTCCAGAAGGTCATTGAGAGTAAGAGGAAGGCAAAAGCAGCCATTGACTCGGAGGTAAGACAGGTCCTCTGGGACACCAGGTCTGGGGACCCCCAGACCTGGGACCCCATGGGCCCCGCAGCAGGGGCAGAGGGGAGTGCAGGTGCCTCTGGAGACTACCTGTATTTTTTTTCTTAAACGTATATCTTGAGGTATTGCACACAGTAACACGCACAAGTTCAAGTGCACAGCTCATCGCACTTTGCAGATGCATACATTCACATAGCTCTACTCAGATCAAGACAATGGACACTCCCAAAAGTCCAGAAGGTTCCCAGTCAGTAACCATGAGTTGGCTTCCCCCTTCAGAGGTTGTTCCGCCAGCTCCTGGGTTCACACGAGTGCACACATGCAGCGTGCCTTGTGCGTGCCTGGTCTCTTTCCATCAGCTTTGAGGCTCTGTGTGTGCGGTTGGGCGTGTCAACATGTCATCTTTCTCCATTGCCAGCCTCCGCTGCATGGCTGTGGTGCCGTTTGCTTACCTGTTCAGATGATATGAATGTGGGTAGTTTCCAGTTTGAGGCAGAATAAGGGGCAGGAATAAGGCTGCTATGAACATTGCTGGAAAGCACTCACTACTCTTGGATAAACACCTAGGAGTGGACGCTGGGGTGGAAGAGCAGGCGTGTGTGTAGCTTTCGTCAGTGTTACGAAGCTTTCCGAGGGGCTGGCTGACCCAATGTATGCCCTCGCCACAGCTGTGGCGTCTCCGTTGTGCATGGTGGTCAACCATTCACTGTGGCAGACTTTCTAACGTTAGCTCTCAGTGCGGATGGTGATATTCGATTGTGGCTTTATTTATTTATTTATTTTTTGTCTTTTTTCGTGTCTGGCAACGGACCGCAACCCTCAGTGTCGCGCCCGTACCGGACCGGGACCGGCAACGGGATCGCAACCCTCAGTGCTGCGCCCGCCCCTTGCTCAGCCAGTGAGCGGGAACTGGTCTGTATGTGGGATCTGAACCCTCGGCGGGAGCGCCGCTGTGCTCTCAAGTGGCGCACTGTAGCAGTGTGCCACTGGGCCGGCCCTTGATTGTGGCTTTAATTTGCGTTTCTCTAATGAGTGATCATGTGGGATCTGAACCCTCGGCGGGAGCGCCGCTGTGCTCTCAAGCGGCGCACTGTAGCAGTGTGCCACTGGGCCGGCCCTTGATTGTGGCTTTAATTTGCGTTTCTCTAATGAGTGATCGTGATGGGCACATCTGGCCATTTGGATTTCTTCTTTTGTGCCTGTTCAAGTCTTTTGCCCATTTAAACATTTGGGCCGTTGGTCTTTTCTTCTTGATCTGTAGGGGTTCTTTATATACTCTGGACACGAATATCCAGAGTATCTATCCTCTCCCAGTCTGTGGCTTGTCCATTCACTTTTTTAATGATGTCTTTTGCTGAACAGAACGTCTTAATTGTAATGAAGTCCAGTGTATCAGTGTTTTATGTTAGTGCCTTTTGAGTCCTGATTTAAGAAGCCTTTCCTGCGCCAAGGTCATGAAAATACTTTCCTCTGTTTTCTTATGGAGGCTTGGCCACTTTTGCTTTCACATTCAGGTCTATGATCCACCCAAATGGATGTTGCTTGCTTTTGCTCTGAGAACTCCTCTGTTCGGTGGGCATCTGGGCAGCATTTCCCCTCGCGAGGTTCCGAAGGTCCCACGGCCCTTCTCTGAATGTGGGCCTTAGAAGCAGGCTCTGGAGCAGGTTTCAAGCTTTCTATTAGTAGTGGGAACCTCTGACACACGAAATGTCCCCAGAAACCCGTAAGTGAGGCAGAAAGACTCTAAGTGGTGGGCGTGAGGAAGCCCAGCCCTTCTCTGACACCCCAAGGTGCTCAGAAACACCAGTGTGGAATCCAGGGATCCTAGGAACATGGTCTGAAAATCATGACATGAGATGGACCTTGTTTCTGACACAGATGCTCCCACAACACTCTCTCTCAGGGCTCTTTTCACTGTAATGATGTAAAGGGGAGAGTCCCAAGTAGTCACCGAAGGCTTCGACATCTCTTGTGCCTACAAGGCTGATCTGCCACCAGCTCCTGGAAGGTGTCAGGCAGCATGGGCCACAGAGTGGCCCCTGGGGGAGGGCACCCAGTGTGGAGACGGAAGAGGGGGGGGGTTCTGGAGCCTACCTTAGGGAGCTTTTAGCCCCTTCAATCCTGGCATCTCCCGCTTCTTTCCCAGTGGATGCAGAATGTGCTGGGCCAGGTGCTGGACGCTCTGGAATACCTGCACCAGCTGGACATCGTTCACAGGTGACCAGGGGCCTCCCTTCTTCTGGGACTGGCTGGCTGCTTCAGGAGAAAAGGCAACGGGTCTGCTCGAGTGCCACTGCCCGTGGGCAGGATCTGGGGAGGGAGGTGTGCCGGGCTAATGCAGCCAGGATAGGACAAACACCTTTCCAGAGTCCCTCCTGGGCTCCGAATGGCACCCTCCTCCCCAGAGCCTCGAGTGACTCACCCTCTCCACGCACAGCTGCACAAAGTGTGCGCTGACAGGGCCAGGTTGCTCTAAAGTGCGAGGAGAGATAACAGCAGCCAAGGAGAAGAGATTAGGCTGCCTACATGGCACGGCCTCTGGACGGCCACCTGGACTGTGCACTCCCCATCTGGACCTTCGACCCACCAGTAGTGAGGCTTCCAGCTCTAGATCCCGTGGTCTGAAGGGGCTGGATGGCTTCAATTGTGAACACCAGTGTCTCATGTAAATGAGAAAAGAAAACCAAGCAGACCATATGTACAAAGGGGATGCTCACGATTCAGTGTCAGTGTCACTGGACATCACAGAATGGCCAAAAATCAATCCCCAAAGAAACGCATGGCTAAGATTGGTAATGAGGGGAGCAGGGTGTTCACGGAGCGGCCTCTGAGTGGTTGGGTGTGCTCCTGCCTATAGCTGGGGACTTCTTCCCCAATTTAAAAAAACTAAGTATGTTTTATGTTTATAGGAAGCAGTATTTAAAAAGCGGGCTGACAAAGAGCATATTACTGAGGAGAGGGCGGGGGTGTGGCTGCTGCTGTAAAACTCAGGGGAGGGGGGCAGAGAGCCTCCGCTGGCAAGACGTGGCCCCTGGCCTGGAGAGCAGTCACTCATGGCAGCCCTGCAGGCACCCAGGGGAGAGTCCCACCTCTTGGTTTCATTCAGGAACCTCAAGCCCTCCAACATTGTCCTCGTCAGCAACGACCACTGCAAACTGCAGGACCTGAGCTGCAATGCACTGATGCTCGACAAAGCCAAATGGAACGTCCGTGCAGAGCAAGGTGGCTGGGGGTCCTCAGGCCAGGTTGGGGGTGAGGAGGGGGGCAGCTAGGGAGGGGCAATGATGAGCAGTGAGAGAGGGGCATTCCCCGGAGGAGGCTGGCTCCTAGATTCCAGGGGGCGGTGGCCACTTTGGGCGCTGGAACAAGGCAACGTCAATCCACTTTTTGCTCAGAAGGTCCCCACAGATCCCCCTGGCTTTGTGTAGACTCCAAAGAGACTGCCTTGCCTGGGCTAATAATTAAGAAGGATTGCCCCCATGGGGGGTGGATGCAGGGTCCAAAAGACACCCCACATTTGAGAGAGAGTGCCCTGAGAAACAAGGTAATGGTGTGGTACTCCAAAAACTGTTAGCCTTCATGGAGGGAAAAGAGAGCTTCAGAAGGAAGGAAACTAAGGTGTGCAGATAGACAAAGTACCGGTCGGGGGTCATGCACTGGCCATGTGTGCATTACTTTATGGAGTCCTGAAATAACTCAGGAGATGATAAAGGTGGGTGGTAGAAGGAGATGAGTTCTCTTTCTTTTGAAAAGATGACAGGGCAAAGAGAGCTGGGTTTCAGGCCTGTAACAGGTTCTAGGATGGAGAGAGCACTTACAGTGGAGAACTGCAGAGCCCCAGGGTGGCAACTGCTGGTGGCACTCTGTTCTTAGTCCACAGAGGACAGATGGGTAGGTGGATGGACTGACTGACTGATGGATGGATGGATGGATGGATGAGTGGGTCGTTGGATGGATGGGTGGGTGGGTGGATGGATGGATGGATGCGTGCATGGATTGATGGATGGGGGGATGGATGGATAGATGGGAGGGTGGGTGGATGTAGGTGTATTGGAGGTGTAGATGGCATGGGTTCTTGGAGACCAGCCCTTTGCTATCTGGCTGGGGAATGGAGGTTCTGAGGAGGAGGAGCTGCCTGAGGCCAGTTGGGGACTGACAGAGCCGGACTGAGGACCCTGCTCTTTTGGCTCCTTGTTTGGTATTGGTGTAGAAACTAGGCCAGGGCAACTGGAACTTTGCTCCAAGGTACTGACAGAAGTGACAAGATGTTTAAAGAGATGCATATTTTAGTTTTCTTGGCACATGGCTCTTCCAACTCCTGCAGCCATGGTGGGCACAGAGACACCCACACACAGGGCCAGCCTGGCAGGCAGCTGCCAAGATGGACAGCCTCACTGGCTCAGGATCAAGGCAGAGGCCTCACTGAGCAGGGGCCTTCTCCTCCCCCACAGTTAGCATGTCCCCACCTCTGTAGAGAAGAGTGGTGGAAGGGCTTGTTTCAAGCTGTTTGCAAGAGGCACCAAAAGGGTTACAGTCCTGGGGTAGGGTGGTCTGTCCTGTCCCTGTCCCCCAGGGAGCACAGGACTCAATGGATCCCCCACACCTTGCTCCTGCTAACAGACCCCTCTCAGAAGTCCTGGATGGCCCCTGAAGCCCTCAACTTCTCCTTCAGCCAGAAATCCGACATCTGGTCCCTCGGCTGCATCATTCTGGACATGGCCAGCTGCTCTTTCATGGATGTGAGCTGCTTGCTGCCTGCCCCCTCCCTGCCACACCCCTCACCTGGCTCTCCCCGTCCCCAGGGAATGGGCTGTGCCCAGGCCGGGGGAGAAGGCTTGCCCTCGCCCTGCCTCCCCCTGCATGCCCTCCTCCTTGCTCTCCGCCTCCATGCAGGCTGTACAGAGCCCCCTCCTCAGAAACCCCCAACACTCAACACCTGCTGGGCGCTAGCAGTAATAATCACAGGGATGGTGATATTCCCACCATCTTATGCCCTGACCTTCACAGCAGCCCTCCACACAATAGATGAGAAAACCCAAGTTCAGGTGCCTTGTGAGGGATGCTGCAGCTCTGCATCCAAGCTGGTGCAGAGGCACCTTCTTTGGCTCTGCACGTCCTCAGCATGCAGCTCTCATCCCTGCTGGAGGCCCCTGCACCACAGGAGGTTGTGGCCTGGTGTGGGGCGGGGAGCTCCATGGTCACCCTGGCTGTACGGGCGCCTGGCTGAGCCTCAGCATCCCCCAGCCCCCCAGACCCCCAGATTCCACCTCTGAGAAGCACCTTGCTGCATCCTTCCTCCGGAAGACTCCCAGGGACACACGGGCCTCCCACTTTGGGGGGCCATGTGACTCAGTGGGAGAGCCTGGCCAAGGTGCCAGCCCTGCAGCCTATGAGCTGCGCCCTCTCACCTTCTGCTAAATGGGCACGCGGGCTTTCTGGCTCGGTCTAGATGGAGTTTTCTCAGCAGGACTTAGCAGGAGGGCTGTCCCCACCCTGCCCCCACAAGAGCACCACTCATGTCTCTGAACCTCCATCTTTTCTTCATAGAAAAGCTCCAGGGCTGTGGTCTCTGGTCACTCACAAAGCTGGCGGCCGCATCTGGCTCTCCTCTGGTCCCCTCACCAGCTCTCCCTGGTCCCCAGCACCTCCTCTACCCACACCTCAGGCCCAGGTTTCATTCAGTTGAGGGACGCACAGAGCAGCGCCCATGCTCTCCCTGCAGGGTGCAGAAGCCATGCGTTTGCGCAGGTCCCTCCGTCAGTGCCCCGATGGCCTGCAGGGCATCCTGAAGGCCATGAAGGAGGAGCAGGTCCCAGATGCAGAGACCTACGCTCTTCTTTTGCCATTGATGCTGCAAATCAACCCCTTGGATCGAATAACAACACGGTGAGCTGACGTTCAGGGTTTTACGTTAGCCCGATTCATCTTTCAGCATCTTTCCACCATCATGCAAGCGCACAGCTGCTGTGCTTTTTAACACCACAGAAAACTCTGTTGCAGGTGCCCTGGTTTCCCAGACACGATTGGGCTTTTCCTGATTTTTGCCACCCCAAACCATGCAGCACTAACAATTTTGCGTGAGTGTCATTCGACACTGGAGCAGCAGGCCTGCTTCTCCAGCAGGTCCAGGTGGCCAGGCCCCAGGCCCCACCACACTTTTAGGGGTCCAAGAAAAAGTCTTAATTCTAATTTATTTTAAAATCTTAAGAAAAAACTGGATATTTAACAATGAGTCCAGCCTGGGTTATATCCATCTTATACCAACACAGTTGTAAAATTCAATTTTTCTGTTTGTATGGAGGAAGGTCCCACAACAACAAAAGTGCCAGGGCAGGGGCCGGCCCGGTGGCACACTGGAGAGTGCGCTGCTTGGGAGCGCGGTGGCACTCCTGCAGAGGGTTCGGATCCCATGTGGTGACCGGTTCCCGCTCACTGGCTGAGCGCGGTGCGGGCGCAACACCGAGGGTTGCGATCCCGTACCGGTCAGTAAAAAAGACAAAAAGGAAAAAAAAAAAGTGCCAGGGCAGGACCCTTCTCCCGTGGCCCTGGTGCAAGCCCTGTGCCTCCCTCAAGTAAGTCCCTGGACATGGAATCGCCAGGGCACTTGCTGAATGCACTTGAGACATTGTGAGAGATCTTGCCAAATGGATTCTAAAACAGGAAGGTTGGCGTCCATTGTCCACCAGCCCAAGGCAGAGGCAGAGACTGTGGCAAGTGGCGGGAAGGGCTGTGGGCTCACCGGGCTCTTTCTGCTCCTCTGCTAGAGACGTGATACACATCACCTTCGTGAAGAGCTCGTTCAAGTCCTCAAGCATTGCTCTGACCTTGCACCAGGAGGTGGTGCCTCCTTTCATCACCAACATGCTGTTGGAAAGCAACATTGCCAGCCTTTTAGGTGATGGTGGGGACCCAAAGGGGGAGGGTGCTGTGAGCTGCTGTGGCCTTGGCATCCTTTTTAGTCCCAGAGGGTTAGTGCCTCCCCCAAAGCCGAGTCCCACCAGACTTGCTCCTCATGCATGGCCAGTGGGTAGTAGCAGTTTCCAGGACCCTACATCCATCCCCTAGCACTGTTTTGCTCAGGGAACTCCCCTACTGACATATCTGTTGCTTTGTGTTGCTTTGCCCCCCACGTCTTTGTCACTTGTCTTCCCCTGGGTGATGGAGATGCAAAGGATTACTTAAAGCCCATGTCTTCTGAGCAGTGAGAGACCCCAAAGTGATTAACTTCCCTGGGACCCTCCAGCGAGAGGCAACCCTTCCTTGGGAAATTAACCCCGAATTGGGGTTCTCTTCCTGCATTTATTTTCCAGACCAGGAAGTTACAGGAAGAGAACATAGGTGGGGTTATAGTTTAACAGTATAGGCTGGTGACTTTCAGTGAAACAAGCCAGATGACGTTCCAGTAAGGCAATTAACAAAAGTGTGATCTTAGCAAACATTCATAGGTGGGGTTATAGTTTAACAGTATAGGCTGGTAACTTTCAGTGAAACAAGCCAGATGATGTTCCAGTAAGGCAATTAACAAAAGTGTGATCTTAGCAAACATTCCTTCTTACAGCATTTCTCAGTATCTTTACATAACAATCAGTAACTAGTCTGTCCTTGAGCCAGCAACCTGCTGTGCCCAAATCTTTATCTTATACCAGAGACTTATAGCCTGAGGAAAATTTCTAGTCCTCCACAAGGTCAATATTTGAAACTGCAAGACTTTGGAAAACCAGGCCCTTTGAAGTACATATGCTTTTTAGTATATTCCACAGACCCTCTGTAGCTCCATTTCCTGTAGCACAAAGTTTGTCTCCATGGCCTGGCCTCTACCTCGTTCGCCTCTGTTTCTGCCACACAAACCCTCCATATAGCTACAGTGGCCTCCTCCCTGCTTACACCCCCCAAAACCCCCTGAATCTTTGCTCCCACACCTGGCACTCAGTGGTCCTGAGCATCTTCCTCACACAGCAGCCTTTCCTGTGTGCCTCCTATGTGCCCAGAGTGAGTGGCAGTCCCCACCAAAGTTTGGGGTCTGGGCCAAGACAGAGACTTGGGTTTGATTTTGGACATGTCACTTGGCCTCAGTAGTCTCATCCATAACATGGGGATGATATGATTGTCTGCCTCATGGCCTGATCCTGTGGACCCCAGGAGTGGTGACCATCCAGCAGCCAGGCCAGTGTGGTGTCCACAGATGGTACCCCCATGCCCTGGCCCTCAGAAGGTTCCCTCCCTGCTCTCTCCTGTCCCCTGCAGAGGTCATGCAGAACTTGTCCAGCCAACCTGAAGTCCAGCTCACGGCTATGAAGAGGCTTTTGACAATGCCTGAAGATGAGCTAGGTAGAGACCCCACTCCTGCCCCTCCCCCAGCTGCTCCCCCGCAGGCAGACCCTGTGGTCCACGTAGGCTGTGGCTGGCCCCTCATTCCAAGCTCTCCCAGCTGGTGCTTTATTGAAGCTGGTTTCTACTCCCATAATGGTCCCATGTCTTTACCACCTGTAGGAAAACAGGCCACCTGGAATTCTTCCCATGTTACCATTTTTTGCCAGAGAATGAAGGGTGGGGGGATGTGGAGGCTCCCCCACATGATTTTTTTTTTATTGGTTATATGTAGGGAACAAAATTGTCACCACTTGTGCCCAAGATGTGATGGCCAGATAAGTACTATCAGCATGCCCACTACCACAAATTGTGATTATTCCCCGTGTCCCCCACCCAATTAATCCCCGACCTCCCTCTCCCTCCCCCACCCCACACCACAACCCTAGGTATGCTCTCTCCCTCTGCAAGTCCAGTGCACCACTGTGATCTGTCTTTCCTTCCTTTTTTCTCTTTTAGCTCACACTTATGAGGACATACAATATTTTTTCCTCTGTGCCAGGCTTATTTCATTCAACACAATTTTCTCCAAGCTCATCCATATTGCTGTGAATGGCAAAATTTCATTCTTTTTTATGGAAGAGTAGTACTCCATGTGTTTATATTACCACATTTTCCTTATCCAGTTGTCCATCAATGGACATTTAGGTTGGTTCCATATCTTGGCTATTGTAAATAGGCCTGCCATGAACATGGGAATGCAGGTATCCCTCTGACATGATGACTTCTATTCCTTTGGGTATATACCCAGCAGTGGGCTTGCTGGATCATATGGTGGATCTATCTGTGATTGTTTAAGGAACCTCCATACTCTTTTCCCTAGTGGTTGTACTAATTTACAGTGTAGGAGCATTCCCCTTTCTCCACATCCTTGTCAGCATTTGTTATTCTCCATCTTTTATTATAGCCAGTCTAACTAGGCTGAGGTGATATCTCAATGTGGTTTTAATTTGCATTTCCCTGATGATTAGTGATGTTGGGCATTTTTTAAAGTGCCTGTTGGCCGTTTGTACATCTTCCTTTGAAAAAATGTCTATTCAGATCCTTTGCCCATTTTAAAATTGGATTATTTGTTTTTTTACTGTGTAGTTGTCTGAGTTCCTTGTATATTCTGGATATCAATCCCTTGTCAGATGTAGTTTGCAGATATTTTCTCCTACTCTGTAGGTTGTCATTTCACTCTGTTGATTGTTTCCTTTGCTGTGCAGAATCTTCTTAGTTTGATATAGTCTCATTTGCTTATTTTTTTCTTTTGTTGCTTGTGCTTTTGGACTCTTGTTCATAAAGTCTGTGCCCAGTCCTAGTTCCTGAAGTGTTTCCCCAACATTTTCCCTTAGTAGTTTTACAGTTTCAGGTCTTATACTTAAGTCATTGATCAATTTTGAGTTGATTTTAGTATATGGTGAGAGGTGCAGCTCTAGTTTCATTCTTTTGCACATGGATTTCCAACTTTCCCAGCACCACTTATTGAAGAGTCAGTCTTTTCCCCAATATATGTTTTTGTTGCCTTTGTCAAATATCAATTGGCTGAAAGTCTGGGTTGATTTCTGGGTTCTCTATTCTATTCCATTAGTCTGAGTGTCTGTTTTTACACCAATACCATGCTGTTTTGGTTCCAATAGCTTTGTAATATAATTTGAAGTCAGGTAGTGTTACGCCTCTGAATTTTTCTTTTCTCTCTGAGGATTGCTTTTGCTACTTGGGGTCTTTTGTTGTTCCATATGAATGTTAGGACTGTTTGTTCTATTTCTGTGAAGAATGTCATTGATATTTTGATGGGGATTGCGTTGAATCTGTAGATGTCTTTCCATCCTTTTGTGTCTTTTATAATTTCTTTCAGTAGTGATTTGTAGTTCTCATTGTAGAGATTTTTCACCTCCTTGGTTAAATTGATTCCTAGGTATTTTATATATTTTTTGGTGACTATTGTAAATGGGCTTACTTTCTCAATTTCTCTTTCTGTTAGCTCATTATTGGAGAATATAAATCAGTTGATTTGGGGGCATTGATTTTGTATCCTGCAACATTACTGAAATTATTAACCAGCTCTGAGAGTTTTTTGGTAGAGTTTTTAGGTTCTTCTATATATAGGATCATGTCACCTGCAAATAGGGACAGTTTGACCTCATCATTTCCAATCTGGATGCCCTTTTTTGTGTGTGTGTGTGACTGGTAAGGGGATTGCAACACTTGGCTTGGTGTTGCCCGCACTGCGCTCAGCCAGTGAGCGCACCAGCCATCCCCATATAGGATCTGAATCTGTGGCGGGAGCACCGCTGCGCTCCCAAGCGCCGCACTCTCCCGAGTGCGCCACAGGGCCGGCCCTGGATGCCCTTTATTCCTTTCTCTTGCCTGATTGCTCTGGCTCGTACATCCAGTACTATGTTAAATAGGAGTGGTGAGAGTGCGTATCCTTGTCTTGTTGCTGTTCTTAAGTGAAAAGCCTTCAGTTTTTCCCCATTCAGGATGATATTGGCAGTGGGCTTGTTGTGGATGGCTTTTATTTTGTTGAGACACTTTCCTTCTATACCTAATTTGCTGAGAGTCTTTATCATGAAGGGATGTTGAATTTTGTCAAATGCTTTTTCTGCATCTATTGAGATGATCATATGGGTTTGTCCTTGATTTTCTTGATGTGATGGGTCACATTTATTCAGTTGCATAAGTTGAACCATCCTTGCATCCCTGGGATGAGTCCCACTTGATCATGGTGTATAGTCTTTTTCTTTTTTGATGTGTTGCTGTATCTGATTACTAGTGTTTTGTTGAGGGTTTTTGTGTCTATGTTCATCAGGTCTGTAGTTTTCTTTTTTTGTTGTATCTTTGGTTTTGTCAAGGTGATGCTGGCCTCATAGAATGAGTTTGGGAGAGTGGCCTCTGTTTCAATTTTTTGGAATAGTTTGAAGATAATTGGTATTAATTCCTCTTTAAAGTTTGGTAGAATTCAGTAGTAAAGCCATCCGGTCCTGGGCTTTTCTTGGTTGGGAGACTGATGATTACTGCTTCAGTCACTTTGCTTGTTATTGGTCAGTTCAGGTTTTGTATGTCTTCTTGGTTCAGTCTTGGTAGTTCGTATGTGTCCAGAAATGTATCCATTTCTTCCAGGTTTTCAAATTTGTTGGTGTATAGCTTTTTATAATAGTCTCTAATGATTCTTTGTATTTCTGTGGTATCAGTTGTAATGTCTCCTTTCTCGTTTCTGATTTTTGTTATTTGGGTCTTCTCTCTCCTTCTTCTTCATCTTTTCTTTTCTTTTTTTTGTTGTTGTTGATCTAGCTAATGGTTTGTTATTTGCTTACCTTCTAAAAAGCCCCAACTTTTTGTTTCATTGTCTTTTGTGTCTCAATATTATTTAGTTCTGCTCTAATCTTAATTATTTCTTTCCGCCTACTAACTTTGGGATTGAATTGTTCTTGTTTTTCTAGTGCTTTTAGGTGTAGAGCTAGGTTGTTTACTTGAAATCTATTATTTTAATATAAGCGTTTATTGCTCTAAACTTCCGTCTTAGTACTGCTTTCACAGTAACCCACAGGTTTTGATATGATGTCTTTATTTTCATTGTTTTCTAGACATTTTTTGATTTCCTGTTTAATTTCTTCTTGGACCCATAGGTCATTCAGGAGCCTTTTGTTTGATTTCCTGTTTAATTCATTGTTTTCTAGACATTTTTTGATTTCCTGTTTAATTTCTTCTTGGACCCATAGGTCATTCAGGAGCCTTTTGTTTAATTTCCATGTATTTGTATAGAGTCCTGAGTTTTGCTTGTTATTATTTCTAGTTTTAATCCATTGTGTTCTGAAAAGATAGTTGAGATGATTTCAATTTTTTAAGTTATTGAGACTTGTGACCTAACATGTGGTCCATCTTGGAGAAAGTTCCATGTGCTCATGAGAATGTATATTCTGTAGTTGTTGGATGAAATGTTCTGTAGATATCTGCCAGGTCCAATTGGTCTAAAGTATAGTTTAAATCCTGTGTTTCTCTGTTGACTTGTTGCCTGGATGATCTAATGACAAGAGGGGTTTGTTTAGGTCCTCCATTATTATCGTATTGGGGTCTCTTTCTTTAGGTCTAATAGTGTTGATATATTTGGGTGCTCTAGCATTGGGAGCATATATATTTATGATTGTTATGTCTTCTTGCTGGATCGATCCCTTCATCATTATATAGTGGCCTTCTTTGTCTCTTTTCATGGTTTTTGGTTTAAAGTCTATTTTATCTGATATAAGAATAGCTACTCCAGCTCATTTTTGGTTTCTACTTGTGTGGTATATCTTTTTCCATCCCTTCACTATTAACCTGTGTGCATCTTCACTGGTGAGATGAATCTCTTGAAGACAGCATATAGTTGTGTCTTGTTTTTTGATCCAGTCCATCAGTCTGTGCCTTTTGAGTGGGGAGTTTAATCCATTTACATTTAGGGTTGTTGAGAGGTACTGTCTTATTCCTGGCATTTTATGGCTTTTTGTTTAGATGTTTTAAGTATCATTTGTTCCTTTCCTCTCCCTTGATTACTGGTCTTCAGTGTTTGTGGGGCTTTTCTGAGGTGGTAAGATTTAGTTTCTTTTGTCTTTCTCATTAGCATTTATGTTTCACTGGTGAGTTTTGTTCTTGCGTGTTTGTGGTAGTGATGTTGTTTTTCAGATTCCAGATGCAGGACTCCCTTGAGAATTTCTTGCACGACTGGTCATGTGGTGATGAACTCCTACAGTTTTTGTCTAGGAAATACACTATTTCTTCCTCATTTCTTAAGGATAGCCTTGCTGGGTATAGTATTCTTGGCTAGTGGTTTCTTTTAATACTTCGAATATGTCATCCCATTTTCTTCTTGCCTGTAGAGTTTCAGTTGAGAAGTCTGCTGTTAGTCTGATGGTGGCTCCCTTATAGGTGACTTGACAGTTTTCTCTTGCTGCTGTTAGGAATCTCTTGGTCTTTGAGCTTTGCCAGTATGACTATAATGTGTCTCAGAGAGGATCTTTTTTTTTTTTTTTTTTAATTTTTATTTTGTCAATATACAATGTAT